AAAAACGACCAGAATATCAACGACCAGAATATCAAAAAAGGCGACACAAAGTAATTTTGCTTCGTGATAATGCACCATCGCATACAGCAAAACCGGTGAAGGAAACGATCGAAGCGTTCGGTTGGGAAATACTTTCGCACGCGGCTTACTCACCAGACTTGGCTCCGTCCGATTACTATTTATTTGCATCGATGGGACACGCACTTTCTGACCAGCACTTCGCTTCTTACGAAAATGTACGAAAATGCCTCGATGACTGGTTTGCCTCAAAAGAGCGACAGTTTTTTTGGCGTGACATCCACCAATTGCCAGACAGGTGGGAACAATGTATAGCTAGCGATGGGCAATACTTCGAATAAAATATTTTTAATCATTTTCATACAATAAACGTGTATTTGCTATACAAAAATTCCGGTTTCATATTAACATACCTGGTAGTTCGCGAGTAAGTGGCCACATCGATATTTAAAAAGGTAAAATATGGTTTGAGAAAAGTGTTGCAAGCAACTCTAAACACTTTTAATAACATACTAAAACTAAATCTAAAGTTAACTATATAAACACAAATTCAGTGACAGTAAACGCTAAAAAGTAAACAGGTGGAAAAGAAAGGTTCAATGTTTATTAACGATGAATGCGAGTAACAAAGAATAACAAATAAATAATAAATAAAAGCATAAATCATTCAGCGCTAAAACGTGCAACTAACAAATTGCAATAGGTGAGAACCTAAATTGCAAAATAGAATAGACACGTACGTACATTATGGGCATTTATACATTTAGTGTTCGAAAAAATTGGGGTTTATGATACTTCATCGCATAGCCGCCGACTTGCTAAAAATTTATTTATATTAATTAAGGATTGTAACAAAGGTAAGTTTAATTAAACTCAATATTTCTTTTTTTTTTTTTTTTTTTTGAGCAAACTTATCTGTATTACGACCCAATAAATCTACGTACAAAATGATTCATAAATATACGCCCACACTTTAGAAAGCGAATGTACACATTGAAACAAGCAAAAAGCATCATATGAAAATACGTGTTACGTAGCTGCTTAGTTTTCGGATAATGGATATTCAATGAAAATGTTCAAGTGTTCTGCCTACACTGCCCACACTGTCTCGATATTTATACTGCACGGCTTAACGTTGCCTGTATACACAGCTGAAGTATTAGGTTGTCCGGAAAGTTTCTTTCGTTTCATAAGGAAATAATAAACGCACAATGTTTTTTTGTTTTATATTAGTTTATTGAATTGTGCACAAACATGATAATAGAAATATAACGAAATGGATCGATAAAATAATATAAAACAGAAATTGTTGTTTATCTGTTATTTCATTTATGACACGAAAGAAACTTTTCGGACAACCTAATATATTTTGATCTACAGTAAACTTTACGATTTTTATCTTTTCGCTATCAGAACAATAACGAAGTCACAAGGATATAATACAGGCTACCTGAAATCCTGTCTGGTTGATTATTACAGCTAGAAGAAGCTAAATTATCTACAAAATGTTTTCTACTTGTGCATCAGCCTATATATTGCGAGAATGAATATTTCGATTGACCATTAGACTGAATTTTTGTGCAATTAGGGAAAACACGAAGATAACGAAATGCGAAAAATGCTGTTTAATATGCAAAAATATGCACAGTATTCGTTACAACATTTACCGGGTAAAACAAATATTTGCTTTAGGTTTCTATAAAATCGTGAATTTGCATAAACATCCACAATCCATCGACGACGATTACATCTAACAGAATTCTACGGATATTTTCGAATAAAAGTCGATTAAGTTCTAAGAGAAAACCATTTCCTTTTCGGAATTGTTATTAGAGAATGGCCGAACGTACGGAGTTAGAGTTGCCCGTTTATATTCTGAATCGTCGATAACGAATCTTGAATTTCAGGCTTCGAATCCGACCATGATCTTCTATTTCCGACACGATGGCACTGCAATTCGCAAATTGAATTTCAGATTGCGAAATTGAAACTTCAAATTCGAAAGATCAAGTATGAATATCAAACCGCTTGGTATTGATTTTCGCAAAGAAACGATGAATCGGCCGTGTCCCTTGCGTTGCTCTCGTTTCACGGAAGATCAAATCCGATTCGGTTTCGCAAATATACGTTTTTACCAGCAGTTAGTGCGTGCACCATTGCCAATTGCTTTTTATTCCTCCGACAAGCTTTCTTCGCCGCAACGTAACTCAACTGCGAAGTGTGAGCCGCGTTTCGCGCCTCGAGCGACCAGAAAATCCTCCGAGTATTTGCACTCGAAATATAACGACATTCACAACGCAAATACCAGAAGAAACCGTAGTTTCGCTACAGGTTCATCTATATTATTTGTTGTTGCGTAAAGATGCTTCTCAGGAGAAAGTTACGCGGTTTCAGAGAGCACGTGTAATGCTGAAAATAAGCTAAAACAGAATCGTAGTGATCATATTTTTACGAGATCTCAAGGTGACTGGAATATTTCATCGATGATCCTATATTTATTTCTGGATATCTTCGTAGAGTGTGAAAAAAGAAATTCGACGACGTTGGCAACGCTCTATCGACCTTCTTCTATGACTACGCGTTAAATCTCTGCAAACTACACGGTGCTTAATCAGCACAATTGAACTAACGTAATTCACACTGACGTTTTTCTAACGCGATAAACGTCTACGTGCTGAGCTAAATGAACCCACGCCAATAGACCAATTTACCGAATGGTCTTAGTTGAAAAAAGCGAGGGGAAAGAAGAAAAAGAAATTAATGTAGCCCTTCACCATAACAGAAAATGTACAGACGTCCATCGATCAACTTCAAAAGTGGTCGAAAAAATCAGGCCTAAAGTTCTCAGCGAACCGCCCAACATCCCCGAAATTGTTTCTAGGAAACACGGGGATAGAATACCTGAAGAACATTAAGCTTCTTGGGCTCGTTTTCTACGGCAAATTAACATCCCCCATACGAAGCACCTAAAAGAATCCTACGCAAAAAGATCGAGCATCGCTAAATCATTAGCCAAGGACAACTGTGAACGGTAGAGCAGAAAATTCGTTTAAACAGAAAAGGATTTATCTCAGTAAGAAAGTGGAACACGTTACGATAATTCCTATTAACCGTGCAAGTTATGTCGCGGTATCGACACTTTGTTGGTACAGTGCAGTTAGCTATCTTTGATTGGTAACTGGTTCTCGTCATGCCATTCACCGGCAACAAAGAACAGCTTCTGCATTCTCCTGGACGCGTGCGTTTAATCACTGTAAATTCCATTTACCGGTGTGACGCAACCTTTTGACAAAAGCGATACCTAATACCGTGTGTACACGGGGGGCCGACGTTAATCGACTCCTGCTACCGCAATAACAAGGCAGATCAGCGCACGAAGCGAGACCTTTGCACGATGGCTCACGGGGATTACGTAGACCGGTTGAAACGACAGAAACGCCAGAAACGACGGATACGTGCTCCAACGACGAGATAGTTGGGCAAGTTGCCACAACGTCCACCCGGACCCGCTCTAGCTTCTAGGAACCTAGACTAATTACCTACATACTATCAGTCGCCAGCTGGCCTTCGTGATGCTGACCTGCCTGCAGTTCGGCGCGATCGTTTTTCTATCACGGCGACCGAGACTAACGGGTCGGGATGGATAGACACGCAGCATGTCCTTCTTTATCCTTGAAGAAGAAAATCTCTGGAAACGGCGCAACGCGGCACTAATTAATCGATTGATCGATCGATCCGGTCGAGTAAAATTGTGTAATTAATTGACTAATTAATTAAGGCCGTGGCTTGTCGTCTCCGAATACGGTTGCCGGTGAGCGCGGAAGGAACGTTGATTATAAGCCCTCGGGTTGATTGTTATAGGTGGTTAATTAATTGCTCTCGGTATCGAAATTACGCAGTTCCGAGTGTTTTCGCAGATTTATCGGCGAAATGTCTGTCAACCCCTTCGATTACCCTAAAAGTATCGAAAAAGAAGGACTTGTAATTTTGTACGTGGTTAGAGCTTTGTACCGTTTTTCACGTTTTCGTGATTTTAACCTCGCCCGAGATTATTTTTCTCATTTTTATTAACACGATCGAAGGAATGAAACCTGTATAAAGATTTTTGATATGTCTGCATATTATGTGCATTTCGTACATTTCTGCGGCTTTAAATTTAGTTTCGCACGAATGCGTAAAACTGTCCAGTCTACTAATAATTTAACGCGAATTTAGCGAGCAGGGAGACTCTTTCTACGCTAAAGTTACATTTTAATGGTCACGTGTATCCTTAAACAACGTTACTTCGCGAAGCATAGGAGTGAATTAAAATCTTTGTCTATCTCTAATTTCGAGAAACTAATTTTCAAAATGTAGAACGACCTAGAGGAAAAATGATGTCTTCTTGTTTAAAGAAGTGAAAGCAACGACAGTGATTTACAGGAAGAAAATCTAATTTCCAATTTTGATCCGAAACTCTAAAATAAACTAAACTATAGTATAGCATTTTATATAATACTTGAGAGGTAAAATAACATCCTAGCGAGGTTTCATTTTGTTAATTATACTCCCGAAAATTTGCTTAAAAATCCGCAACCTCCTTATCGTTGTACTATGCGATAGGGCTACGGTAAAGGAATATTTAGTGATTTTTCCATTTAATTTCACCACTTAGCGCGTGAGTCATCCATCGTTACTCTTATCGTTACTATTTATCCTCTTTCTGCTCTTCCTGTTCTTTTATGCTAAGACTGTTACCGGACTGGAAATGGAATGCAGTTAGGTGATCTTTAATCGCTTCAGCTCGCAAAACTTTTCACGGTTAGGTTTAACTGTTAACTACTCGCGCCAAAGGGAAGCACATTGCGCGTTCAAGCTGCATAATTTCGCGAGTTTTGCAGCTACACATTGAGCCGGGAAGCTACGGCGAAGGATACAGTTAACCGAAGAGGCCCGCCCTGAGAATCAGATTACTGTTTGGGCCCAGGTTACCGAACGTAATTATCTTACGATTAGCAAGTGCTCTAGTGCTGTTCCAAACCAGGCTACTTCTACAGTTCTGACCGCTATTAGAACCTGCACAGCAAACTGCGCCAACTACTATGCCTTTAGAAACTTGACCAACGCCTACGCTGCAACCCGGCAAGTTGATAATGAGAGTGACGGTTCCAGAATCGATAAACCGAACGTAATTAAATGTGAACAATCGTTAATTTATAGCGAAATAATTGTATGTACGCTTGCGCTCGAAACTTTCAAGCACTCTTTACTTTGCGAACGGGACTAGTTTTTTCCTGCATTTTCCGACCAACGAGAATATCTTGCAATTATAACTTTCGTCTTTAAATAGAATTAATTGCGTTTTATATAATATTAGGTTGTCCGGGAAGTGTCCTTCTTTCGCAAACGAGTTTTTTACAACAGTGTGCCTTCGTACAAACGTGAAACCTAATCTGTCCAACGTTGTGATCTTCATTTTGATAGAACAAAATGGATCATACGTAATTCGATAAAATAATATAAAACGAAAAATGTTGTGCATCCATTATTTCCTCGTAACACGAAAGAAACTTTTCGGACAACCTAATGGAAGAGTAATATCACGAAGAAAATTTTTCTTTACATGAGAAAGTCATCGTCCTTTTTAAATTTATTTATTTCGTGCATTCTCTGGGCAACAAGAATATATCGTCATTATAACTTTCAACTTTAGGTAGAATTAATTACGTCAGTTTAAGTCATAGAAGAATGATGTTACGAACAAACTATTTCTTTACGTAAGGAAGTCACTGTTTCCTTTCGTTTCTAACATGCTCGAAAATGTTGACTGACATGTTTGCAAAGATAATACAATCTGTGTATAACGATCAATGGTTTCGCAAATTGCTCTTCCACGAATTTCTACATGAAATTTTGCAATTACCTCGCTTAAAATTGAAGCCAAACCACTGGCAATTAAAAGATCGGAACCTACGATGATATCGATAATTTGAAAAGATCGCAGATTATTTGCCACACTTTTAATAGAAAATGCTGTTTCCCTTTATTGGATCTTATCGTTTATCTGATTAATTTAATACGTATCTATATACACGTATTACTTGCTATTACGTAACAAATTCATCGCGATGATGAAGAGATTACGACGAGGGATAGAAATAATGGAAATAAGCCATCGATGGAACGTATTAAAATGGTTTAATTAATCAATGCAGTACATTAAACTGCTATGCGCGTGGTTTCGAAAAAAAACTCGGCAAACACGTCTGCACAAGCGCAACTTCAAGTAGGAAGTCTAATGAGCGAATGCGCCAATTAAAACGGCGCAGTAATTAAATGACTGATCGATGATGGGATTAATGTAATTACGACAAAGTAACGTTGCATTGGACGGTATAATCAATAGATACTCGCTAATGGCATCAACGAGAGTCGATTATATGCTATACGTCCTTGTATTCATTTAATCCGTCATTAACCCGAGACCATGTAAAACGACATCAGTTGATTATGGATAATTATAAAGTCATACCGATGGAATGTCAAATGTTACAGTATCTATGTCTATTCTTTAATCGTGCTATGCGCGCTGCTCTTTCTTATTTATATCGGAGATGTAGGGACAGCGGGCCTTTCTTTTGGAATTTTGTCAAGATTCCCAATACTTTGGTCTAAACTATTCATTATAGCTGTACTTTACATTATAGCTGTTCTGATTATGTTTGCCCGAGGTTTGTGACAGAGGGCTTAGGGTCGAGGTGACGCAACTGGTCGCCGAACGTAGCCACTGTCGCGGGATGAACGTTTTTACTTAACAGTGGAAGTACCAATATCGAGGGTCACACGCTGTATTAACGAACAAGACCCGGGCAGGAGCAATGACGGCTCTACGCGGGTCTGCCTAGTAACGGAGCCTGGAATTTTGTTGATAACCCTGGTCAATACGCAATCGACAAATGCAATCGTGTCAGTCTTTTATTCTTATGATCTCCTTGGACAGTTTACTCACAACGTCAGGTCAGTCAGTCTGAAAGATACCGTGCGTCACAGCTAACGTTACTTTGAGTTTCAAAATATATTCAATTGTACAAAGAATTATCCCGTTCACCGTGGATTCGTTTGAACCTAAGAACATTGTCTTTACTTTAAGAGTGTCTAATAATCAGGATTAATTGTTAAACCCTGTTAAATCAACACTTGTACACATAATTGTAAACATAATCTCCATTGAACAACTACGATGGCTTGTCTTAATGAAGATACGCAACGCGCCCCTAAGACTAGCGCCAACTCGACAAACCCGACATATAAATAATATGCCGATTTTTATGCGTTTGCGAGGAAACTTAAATGTGCATAGAATGTATGTTACATGTAAAAGTATACAGGACGTTCCAGTCTTCTCTGGCCAAACATTTCCAGTACGTTCTACGGGTCAAGATAGGAAAAATGTGTCATTGGAGGCATCGTTAAAGAATTTCAAAGGGTGATAAATTGAATTTATTGTCGCCGTCAATCATGTATTGACGGTAGTGAGGAACATTTTGAAACGAAGTTATGGTTGGAGTGGTCGAGGTGTCACGTTACCTTCTGACTACTGCCGCATGTAAATATTTCTGATACTTTTTACCGCAGTACCTCTCGTCTCGTATATTTTTTGAGATAACTCTTTAACGATGTTGCCAATGATGTGTGTTTATACGACGTCACAATGTAGTGACATTTGAGCGAGGAAACTGCACCTGCCTGTATATTGGATTGTAATAAAAAATTCGTTCTGGTT